TATAAATACATCCCAGTTATATAATTACTTAGCTAATATCCTCTTTCCAATGCCCTCCTGGTGCTTCGAACAAGCCACCCCTGATTGCCGAGTTCCTTACGACAATCGGTCATGACCATCCAACTGGGGCTAAATACAAAGGAGTACCCTTCCCAGGAAATTAACTTAAGACTATATACACGCGCGGAGGAATACACGTACTGAGCTGTCACCATCAGCGGCCCACCTCGCTTCCGCAACATATAACCCCAAATAATGATATCCAGTAATCTAAACACCACGCTTAAATTACCAAATACCACTCTAATATCATCGTCATGACATAGAGTCATCGTAAATACGATCGTTATACCCACACCATTGCATTTCCCAGATAAGCTAGCATCATAATTAATATAACTCAGATATATATTAAAGTTGGTATTCATATACTCAAAAAGTAATACAATACCAAAGTAGTATAAAGAAGAATATTCTAAATAAAGTATAAGTCTCACAAAAGAAGGAAAAGCTACTAGAGCCATACCCGAATTCTTCCGAAGACTCCGAGAACAGAAGATTCTATTCTATTTCTATTCCGATATACTCTTAGAAACTATATTAAACTTGAGAGATGTATGCTGCTTCTTGCTTGAGGTGTGTCTTGAAATGGAGAGATTGATGGCCTTAAATAGGCTGGTAATGATGGTTATGGCGGTTGGAAAGGTCGGTAATACCCTCCCATAGGGAAGCAAATACAGCCCTCTAGAGCCAACCATGCATCGAGCGGCATTGAGGAGGGTTCGGCCGAACCATGGGCCGGCCCATCTAGCCCACAATTCGGCTGGCAGCCTCCTTGACCTCATCTAACTTCAGACTTGTGAATTTTGCCCTAATTCGATCTTGTCATATGTAAGTTCTTGGCCCATCTTCCGATAAGTCTGATTCTCGACAGCGTAAGATTGATTGATCGTCTATTTTCCTGTCGGTTCTCCTCCATCTTATGCTTATTCTCTGCAAGAGGTTAGTAATCCTAGTGCTAGTGGAATATATATTATTTTAACATAAATATGCATTGTAAGTATAACAAGTTCTCCTCTATTTAGGTAATATTTATGGGCGAAGCTGATCGCTAATGACCGTCAACAACGACACCGAGGCACGATATCTAGTAATGGAGTTCAGCCGAGGCCTAAATCTCCGGGGCACTGATTATGGGCGCTCCTCCCCGATCTAACATATACAGTTTATCAGAGTCACAACAACTCACGGCCGGACGCCACCGGCAGCCGCTCCCTCTCACTATGCTAAGTCACCATACGGTTACAACAGGCACGCCCCTCTATTTATGAGAGATCCTAGGATAGAGTCCGACTTATACTCTAGTCCTAATACCTATTGCAACTCCAAGTCCTAAATTGTAACTGACTATGTACACATATTCGACACAAACTCTAACAAACTCCACCTTGGTGAATATGCCATGCCAACCTGAATTTGCACCATGCACGAATCTCCGTGCACCCAGACTTGAGTTGATCCTTTTTCGCTGCTCACATCGAGCTGCCCCGACAAGCCTCCACCAGGCTCACTGTAAACAAGAGACTCCGCTATCCCTGTAACTTCTTCCTCTTGACTCCACCTGCAACAGTGGTCCACCTTCTCACCTATCACCATAGTCATCTTGCCAAGTGAAATTGAATTCTTCTTAGCTCGCGCATGATAGACTCCCCGAAGACCATGTTCAACTCCATCTACCATGTTAAATTTGACTTAATCTAATCCATGGTCAGATAACCCATGTCATCACTTAATAGATAAATCAAACTCCCCAGACATGAAGAACTGAACCTTTTCTTCCTTGTCGTCTTATGAACCGAGCTAATAAATCCAACATACATGCTTTCCGCATCCGTAGACTGAATATCCGATAATTTGAGAAAATTCACCATTGTCTTGAATCACCCAAAGAAATTACCACCATAGCGCTCGCTCTTCTCTTCAGTGACGCAGATTCAATATATCCTCATCATGCAAACCCCGCAAATGCTGGATATATCATGTATTGCCAGATAGACCCGTTAACACCCTCAACGATTTTCACCCGCTGTTACCCGGGAACTACCTCGATCTCCCATGACTGTCTCCACCAAGTCACACTTGACTTAACAGTCCACCCGATCACAGCACAAGTATATACGCTAATAGCATGCGCAACCTCCATTACATGCACATGCAAGCCACCAAGAACAAGAGCACCAACACTGTGTACATGTATACACGCATAAATTATCTACCGTCTGCAAAAAATTAATCTAGTTTTGACCAAGTTCCAATGCATTAATTGCCTTGCTTTGTTGCTTAGTAGTATCTTCTTATGTGTAAGCCCTGACTCAATTGCCAACAGTCCAAAACCGATTCAATCTTAGCCACCGAATAAATTTCTTTTCTAACAAACCGATTCGGTCACCGTCACGAGTACACGACTCGTGCCTGCTTCCAGCCCTGGATCCCCACAGCTGTTGCCGCTGTGGATCCACCACTACCAGATGCCCGCGCTGACACGCCTCTGCCTCGGAGCTCCAACGCCACTTCTCCTCGACGCATGAGCCGCCGGTACCCACCGTCTCCTCACCGGAGCTGGCCTATGTCAAACCCTGCTGGAACCTACACGACGACCACACCAAGCCGTGTTCCTGCCGCCCAGAATTCGTCACAAACAAATCCGCTCTGACCTTGACCTTCCACCAATCTAGCCGTGAACCGAAGCCGACAAATCACCATGTCATCTTCCCAGCCGCCGAACAACCCGAGTGCTACGTCTAGCCATCTCCCTATTGAACGCAGCTCATCGAAAGGCCTGGGCCACCCCACCCAGAGTGTTCGATTCCACCGATCGAGAACGCTAATCGCCTCCAGCTTCAATCAACCCCGAGCGTCTAGCCAGCCGCTCCCTGTTGAAAGTAGCTCAGTGGAAAGTTCGAGCCACCCGCCCGAACTGTCCAACCCACCGATTGGATCGCCAATCGCTTCCGCCGCCATCAACCCGAGCACCACGTCTGGTCATCTTCCTGTTGATTGTAGCCATCGAACTGTTCAGACCGCTGCCTAAAGTGTCCGATTCCACCAATCAAATTCCGTTGATCGCCGCCGTGCTCCACCTTGCGTCTATGTCCGTCCCTAGACATCCTGCATAGTCATCGCTACGTGGAGCTCCTCCCTATTACCTCTACCATGGATCTCCCGCAGGCGCACCCAGGTCACATTGGGCCTGCTCCACCATAAGCCCAACTGGAGCCACCTCTATTTATGAGAGATCTAGGATAGAGTCCGACTCATACTCTAGTTCTAATACCTATTACAACTCGAAGTCCTAAACTGTAGCCGACTATGTACACCGAGGCACGATATTTGATAACGGAGTTTAGCCGAGGCCTACATCTCCGCAGCACTGATTATGGACGCTCCTCCCCGATCTAGCATATACAGCATATCAGAGTTACAACGACTCACGGCCAATCGCCGCCGGCAGCCGCTCCCTCTCGCTATGCTAAGTCGCCATACGGTTACAACAGGAACATCTCTCTATTTATGAGAGATCCTAGGATAGAGTCCGACTCATACTCTAGTCCTAATACCTATTACAACTTCAAGTCCTAAACGTATGTAATTTTGATACTTACATTGTAGATACACTAAAATTATATATATAATTTAGGGACTTACAATGTAAATACATGCCGAGTATTTTTTGATAAAAAATATGGCGCCATAAATATAGCTAACCGTTATTTAATTGGAAAAAGAAATCAAAATCCTCCCTTTTAGGTTTGGGCTGAATGTGCAAAAGTTCATTGTAACGCCCCGCTTTTCGCGAGACGTTAAAAACTAAATTAATAAAACCCTATTCGCGCGACCGCGTGGTGGCCGACCGCTCGGTCACCGCCGCTGTCAGCGCCTGCCATCCTATCGCCGCACCGCCCTCCACCATCATCACTGGCGTCACCCTTCCCCGTCCCCACGTCTGCGCGTGTGTGTCCAAGAGATGGAGACAGAGCTCCCTGCCTCGCCATCTCTCCCTCCTTTTCTCATTTTGGTAAAGGAGCAAGGCCTCTTTCTCCCCTCCCTTTTCCTTTTTCCCCGACCATCACAGCCGTCACCCCTGCCATCCTTGGCCACAAGCGCCAATGCCAGCCGAGCTAGCTTGACCGCCCCCAAGGGCGGTTCCTCCTCCAAACCACCTTCCCCTGACATCTATAAAACCTCGTCCTCCCCCATTTTTTTCTCCTTCCCTGTTCCGCCCCGACCGAGCCGAGTTTGCCCTTCATCCCTGCTCAGCCACACCATTCTGCTGTGGAGTGTACGGGATGGTATGATGCCTAACGATGCCTTCTTTCCTGTGGTAATCATCAAAAGCATCCGAACAAAATTCACCACCATTGTCAGTGTGAAGTACTTTTACCTCCTTTTCAGTTTGCCTTTCTATCATAACTTTCCACTCTTTAAAAGCAGCAAAAGTATCATCTTTATGTTTCAGGAAATAAGGCCACACTTTTCTAGAGTAATCATCGATAAAGTTAAGCATATAACGAGCACCACCAAGAGAGGGCCCCAAAAATTAGTATGTACATAATCAATTATACGTTTGGTGCGATGGACTGAGGTATTGAATTTTACCGTCTTATGCTTACCAAAAACACAGTGCTCATAGAACTTCATGTTACCCTGGGTATAGCCATCCAGCAGGTTCCTCTTGTATCAATTCTACCATACCAAGTTCGACACAAACTCTAACAGATTCATTGATAGTACACATATTCGACGCAAACTCTAACAGATTGTGGTAGTAAAATTAATGCAGGTTAACCTTCTTAAGCGCCATCTATATGTAGTTAAATGTATGTGGACTGCAATATCGTTTTTCTATTAATGCAAATATATATCCAGAAAATTTTCTCCGTAGGTGTTGAGAGGTTGTAGTATTCATGGCAATATCTGTGATGCACATAACATTATGCATGGATAAGAGATAATAATCATACGCGTAACCTGTTATATATATATGTATATGTGTTACAATACCACGACACATATATTGTGTACAGAAAAAAGCTATGAAGTGTTAATTTAACTTGATGGTTGGATGTACTGTGTATACCAACAAGTATATATTACGAGATGAACTTCATATACCATAAAATTATTGGAAAGATGTTCCAATCAGACCTTCAGAGACAGCTAGCTAGCCTAGAAATTTGTGCTTTAACACCGGGCCTGGTCGCATGGACGTTCCTTCTTATACGCGCTAGCTAGCTGTTACTTGGTGTGCCATATGTGCACAGCACGATGTTCAGCAACTAGAGCCGGCTAGTCGGCCTAATGCTGGCGATGCCCGTGATCTCTCGGGCAGCGACGAGCACGTTTACTTCGTAGCTGCCCTCATACGTGTATATGGATTCCATGTCGCAGAATGCCTGCGTGAAAGAGATAAGTGCATTTATTAGAACTAAAATGAAGGGTATAATATATTAATCGGTGGTATACTTAAACCTGTTAGTTATATTATCTAGGTTCTAATAAACTTTGAAAATTCAGATCCATGTACCAAAGTTCAATTGCATATTACAATTGAAGTATAACACGTAACCCTTTCGGTGAAGTATCAGCCACGCAGGGATATGAAAGGCATGTTACATGTGGTATATATAGTTTCAAACCTAGCTAGATGACTTACTTCAACAATGTTCCAAAACTTAATTATGTATTTTTAAGATGAGTATGGGCGGATCTACAGTGGTATTACACCGGTATCAGGCAACACCAATCTCTTTGGGCAAGAGCTATGCTTAAAATGCTTATTCATATATTATAATATTATATTCTAAATAAAATTAGTATGCTATGACACCGATAGACACGTTATGACACATTGAACTAAATTTCTGGATCTGCCATTGGTTGATACAACATGACAAGTTTAATTGCTATCCATGTACTTTACTAAAAGAAAACTATGATTCCTACTATCCGTACTAATATAAATTAAATAAAATACTATGATCCTCATCAGCTCAACGGAGCGCCTAGGTTAATGCAGAACGTAAAAAGAATGAAACAAACAAAAATGTTTCAATAAATTGAAACAAAAGCTATATTTTTTATATTCTGCAGGTTAATGCTATATATATTGTGCAAATTGAGACCAAAATACACAAGAAAAAAAGACTGACAAATTAATGATACAAAGCAGAACTTATATATGTAAGTACTTATGAGAATATGCTCCAATTAATTGAAGGCACGATCATTATTTCTGTAGTAGTAGTACTATTTCGACAACAGAACCAACTATACGTTGTAGTATGAACATTATATTACGAGGTAAATTAACAAATCATTGACGAGGGTAATTGATGACCTTGCCGACGTGAAAATCGGTGACGATGCCGTTGCCACCGAGCAACTCCCTGCCCAAGGCGACCGTCTCCCGTGCCTGCTTTGTGATCCATGCCTTTGAACAAAAAATGGAGTAGGGTCACAATTCTATCAGTTTGGTTGATTTCAAAATAAACAGTATGGTTCTTCATCCAACGGGTTGTAAGACAAGCAAGTGTTTAAACCTTCCCCAGGCTGGCCTGGCCAGTGGTCATCCTGCCGGAATCGTGCAGCTTGCAGAGACGCCAGCCGAGGAGCCACATCGCCTGGATGTTGCCCAGCATCCTCACTAGCTTCTCCTGGTTCAGCTGGAACGCCGCTAATGGCGCCCCGAACTGCTTCCTCTCCCCCAGATACCTACAAACATGGGCGGTGTGTGAATATGTGTAAGGTGAGGATGGATTTCGATCAAATCATGCTGTTAGTGTGGTTGCTATGTAAAACTTCTTCTGCTCCCTCCGTCCTGTAATTTAAGGGATTACTATCCTTTTTACAAAGATTAAGCAAGTAATAAAAGTTGATGAAAAAAGTGATTAGGAGATGGAATAAATTAGTACTCTCTCCATTCCAAAATATCAGTTATAATCACCCTTAACTCAAAGACCAAGAAATAATTATTATCACCTCATTGTTAGAATCATCCTAATTAATAAATACAATGCACGCACCCAATAGAATTAGAGATTTTGAGAGTGAAATGGTTAAAAAATAATAATTTAGTGGAGAAGAGGTGCTAGTTAATTGCATACATGGATGTATGATTTATATTATGAAAACTCTAAGGAAAGTAGATGTGTTTTATATTTTGAAATAGGAGAAGTACAAGAATTGATAGATGTGGATCAAACTAGTACAAAAGTGGTAGGTGTAGATTAAACTATACATAGATGGGGAATGAAAGAGTATCTCGGGATCACAAAATTTGACGGAGGGAGTAATTGATAATATTATTTTCATTTAAACTTAGACCATTAATTACACGTAATTATTAGTACAAAGTAAACATATGTTTTATGCTTATATTTAGGGTATACTACCCCACCTTTTAATTACGCGGCATCTTTTTAGTGTTTGTAAAAGAATTTAATAAAAGATGAGTGGTCAATGTTCAAATGTGAATAATGCTCAATATCAGTTATTATGGAACGCTATAAGTTTGACATAATTTGCACCGTAAGCATGCATCATAAACCCCTGCTGCAATGCCGATGCTGATCCAGGCAACGATGACGCAAGAGAAAGAGAGGGCCTGTATGCAGAAAAACAGCCAATATCAGTAGCAAGCTAGCAAAGTCTGTCAAATCTACATCACTTATGGTGTGTGGATATATCTAGGAAGCGAAAGTGAGTACTCCGTTCACTCCAAGATATAGATACCTTTAGTGTTTAAATTTTATTGTAAAATATAGCTATTTCTTAGTTTACTTTCTTAACTATTCGTCTCAACCAATATCAATCATTCTCATTTAATTTTCTCCACCTACTTTCTCGACTCGACCGATTACCACTGACCTTATTTAATTTTCACTCTCCTTTAATCCGCATGAGAAACTCTAAAGTTTTTTTTTTATTTTAGGACGAATATATGGAGTAAGTTTGTAGCTTTTACCTTCACTAGGTCTTGGAAAGAGTTGGCGCCGGGAAGACGGTCATCGTCAGGGACGAACACGTCCTCCAGCAGAATGTCACAGTTCTGGACAACCCTCAGCGACGTCTTGTTCTCGATCTTGCTGATCTTAAGCCCTGGGGACCCACCATTCACAATGAACCTGCAGTGAGTTCCAGGTAAACGAATGTATAAAACCAACAGTCCAGTAAAACATTTCACAGTGTCGATAACTCTTATCTCTTTTTCCATAGTAAGACCCACTAAAGTAATGTGTAGACATATGGCTTTTGGTTACCCGTTAATCTGATTATTACTGGTATTGCAGGCAAGAACGACGAACACATCCGCAAAACTGCCGTTGGCCGGCCATCGCTTCTGCCCATTGAGGATCCACCCTCCTGGAACCTACACCAAATATTAGATAATTAATGCAGAGCATGGAATTTGATCAGTGAAATTCGCAATCTTCTGAGCAAATGGGTATACTAATTGGATACTAGATATTTTTTACGAGCTCTCACGACTAGAAAAACTCTTTTCCCAGTCGGCAGAATCATATTTTCGCAGGCGGACAAGCCATACGCCTGCACCTCAACGCCTACGAAAATAGTTGATTTTCGCAAGCGCGCAATAGGTCCGCCTGCAAAAATAGCTTCGAGCGCTAAAAAAAGGGCAGCACTTCCAGTTCCCAATCTAGTTCCCACCCATTCCCCATCCAATCCATTCAATACATCCAGTTCATCCAAAAATCACCGAATCAATTCATCCACAGTTCATCCAAAATCACCGAATCAATTCTAGAAGAAAGCAAATAAAAACATTCAAGAAATCACGACCGCCGCCCAGCCGTCGTCCGCCGCCGTTGCACGGCCGCGGCCCGCCGTCGTCCGCGCCGCCGCCGCACGGCCACGGCCCGTCGTCGTCACTCCATATCTGGGAGGGAGGGGCGGCCGAGAGCCGCTGCCGCCGCCTCACGGCCGCGGCCCGCCATTGTCCGCGCAGCCGCCGCACGGCCACGACCCGCCGTCTTCACTCCAGATCTGGGAGAGAGGGGGCGGCCGGGAGCCGCCGCCACCGCCTCAACCGCCCTCGCCGCCGTGGCCGTGCCGCCGCCTCGACCCTCCTCGCCACCACCGCCCGCCGCCATGCTCCCCCCGCCCCCCTCCGGCCAGATCCGCCGGCCACCGCTCTCCCCCCGCCCCCTCCAGCCAGATCTGGGAGGGAGGGGCCGGGAGCGCGCCGCCGCCGCCCTCCGCCACCACCGCCCGCTGCCGCTGCCATCCTCCGCCGCCACCGCCCGCCGCCGCCGTCGGGAGAGGAGGAGAGGTGAGGGGAGAGGCCGGCCGTTGAGGTGGGGAGAGGAGGATAGGTGAAGGGAAGGGGATGAGAGAGGTGAGGGACTGAGGGGTTGAATGGATAAGCTTGCCGGCCGTGAGTGGTGAGGTGTGGAGACTTTCAAACAATCTCCTCCTATCCCAAGTCTATTTATATTCAAGTCTATTTTCGCAGGCGGACCACTTAAGCGGCGCCTGCGAAAATAGATTTTCGCAGGCTTCGCAGGCGCCGCTTAAGTGGTCCGCCTGTGAAAATAGACATCAAATTTCACCTCAATTTATATTTTTTTGTAGGCGGTCATTTGGCTCTAAGGGCTATGTTCGCCTGCGAAAATAAGATCCCACGTTGGGAAAAATATTTTTTCTAGTAGTGTCTCATATTATCTGCTTATTAAATAGATGAGTCGTATTGTCAGCAAAGCAGTCCATAGATCATTCAAGAAACCAGGGGTTTTTTTTTTTAACGTAATAGAGTTATCTAGACCATGTGCCGTAAATTTTAATTTGCTTTACAGAGTTATTGATTTTAGAATTTCCGGTCAAAATTTACTAGTCGTTGGATATATTTGTGATCGGTGCTATGATATGGATTTGTTCTCTGGTGAGTATGATGTTTTTATCATGTCCGTTGACCAGATCCAATAACCAAGATCAGCATGGACCAACACCTTTTTGTGCAGCCTGTGTCATAGTTTCAATTCTTTTTCATTTTTAATCGACCACCCCTTGAGATGGGTGGAGCTCCCCAAGCTGATGAACTGGACATTGGAATTTGATTTCTTTTTTCTGGATGTGTTTGATTCTCTAATTTCATTGCAGAAATTTTGTGGATGAGTTCGGAGCCCGCTCTTATTGCTTCACCTCGAAGTCTCTCGAAAGGTGGGCGGAAAACAAAAAGCTTCGACTCCCAGCCCCATTCCTTCCTTCCATGGCCTCCAGGTCATCGGCGTGTGAAGCATCTTGACCTCGTTATTAATTTTGGTAATTAATGACAAACACTAGTTGTGAACTAACTATTCTATTCTATTTGAGTGATATATTTGAGTACATGATGTACATGCCATACATGATAACCGGCGATTATGATTGATGGCACAAAAGCAAATGGAATAAAGGTGGTTAATCTAGCATTTTATTTTAAACTGATGGAGGTGTTGGGCGATCAAATTTTGCTATGTTTATTTCCAGCTTTGCCGTACTATCAAGAGGGTTAATGAACTAGGCAAAGAGTTGGTTAAAATGCCACATTCGGTCATTTGCATTGTCGCTTGGTTCGATCGAAGTCATATTTTTTTCTTTGCTTGAGGCCGGTTTGACCGTTGGCTAGGTGCTGGTCTAACCGGGCCTGGCTTGGAAATCAAGAGCCGCCGATCTAGCCGGGCCACCATCGGTCTGATCGGAGCTTATGGCCGTCTAACCGGCCGGCCAACAGCGCGATCTAACCAACCTATACCCGTGTATTAAATGCACTGTAACAGCTAGAAAAATACATGTTACAATCGTGGGCGATGTGACCGGCCACCCCATGAAGGTCCTCGACCCCAAGAGCTATTTTTCATGGGTGGGGGTATGTATCCTCCCCCACTAGCAGCAAGATGGCTTTCTTGGCACTTGCTTCACTTGCATACACCCTTTACATCCACTCTCAGACTTCTTAAGCTTTGGTTCATCCATTGTTGGTGTTGGAGAGTTGATTGAGCCAAGACAAGTGCATTCCTTCATTGTTATAGCTAGTGTGGCACATGATCATTTCTGAGCCGGGTGGTTACTTGTTACTCTTGGATGTTACCGCCTCCTAAACGGCTTGGAGGAGTTGCTCGGTGACCTCTATGAGAAGATTGTAGAGAAGGTCCGATGTTGGTTGTGAGTGGTTTGGAGTTCACCAACTTTGGAGTGAAGGAAGAACTATCCTAGTGATCGAGACTTGGGTAGTCCACTTAGAGACCGGCTCCCACCTTACCCACAACTCGATGAACAAGGCTCTGTTGCTTCATGGTTTGAGTGGTGAAGTTGGGCTTGCCTCAACGGGTATTAGAAAACTAGCGACTTTTCCATTTTGGGCAATTTATTTTCATAGAGATATACTTGAGCCTTATCATCCTAGGATAGCAAAACATAATCTAGTTGCCTAATTAATTCTATCTCTCACCAAGCCTTGCAACTTAGGTTAGTTTTGATTAAGGGCTATTTATTTTTAATATCGTCTATCCCCCCCTAGTCAACATCTCGATCCTACAGCGGGGGGAAGGGGTCCAGCTCCTCCCTCCACTACTAGACATATATTTAGGTCTAGTCGGGTCTTTCGTGTTCTTGGGTTCACCATGTTCTTTGTGTAGCTCAAGAGGGTCATCGGCGTTTGATTCTTCTTGTCTCAGCTTGACGAACATGGCAGACCTCATCGGCGTTCTTGCTAGCATCATCTTTCTGTCTAACGAATGTTGGGTTGACCTCCAACGCCTTCAATCTGGAGTTTTGCTGTTTTGCTTAGGGTTGAGGATTTGTCCTCTAGCCTGTCAAACAGAAGATCATGTCGGCTGTTTGCTCCATCTACGATAAGTCTCCCACACCTACCGTGGTTGTCTGCTTCGTCTATGACGACAACTTTGCAAAAGGTGGCTGATGATTTCTCCAATGGACCAAGGTGGCTTCAACCTCCGTCGAGATGCCCCATTTGCACCTTGTCTCTACCCATTGTAGCTAACCATGGTTTTTTGCTCCTACCATCGCCGTGCACGTGCATCTGGCCATAACCGAAGTGGTTGTTGCAAGGAGCTTATTGCTTTTTCTTGTATGTTTTTATTGTTAGAATAATTGGGCTAGGCCCAATTTATAATATTAAATCTCAAAGGCCCATAATAAATGTTGAGGATAATAATACCACCTCAGGATTTAAGCGAGAAATATCTCAACCTAAATAGGGAGTTATTGGAGGCTCCCTGTTGACCAGTTGAGGTGGGGGTCGAAATGCCACACGCGCGCGCGCGCGCCGCGCCGGGCCGGGCCGTGGGCGTGGGCGTGGGCGAGGCGTGGCTGGCTGGCGGCGGGCGGGCGTGCGTGCGTCACGTCGCTATCCTTTTGCAGCCACTAACCCACGTTCCCACGATTCCCTCTGCAACAGCGCGTCCACGTTCTTTCTCCTGATAGATAAGGAGGCCGCGAGTCCGATCCGACTTCTTCGCTTCTTTCCCGGTGTTAGTTTCTCCTTCTCCGCGCCTGAGTTGCTCTCGCTTCCCCGCTTCTGATCTCTTGCGCGCACGAGAGATTGGAAGAAGCAGTGCCTCCGAAACCACACATTTGCCTGAGATCTGCACCGGGTAGGCGGGTGATCAGGTTTTTGGGGAGTGCCTCCTGCACGACTGCTCATCGCCATGTCTGGAGTTGCTGCCGCCGCTACTGGCCCGCCGACAGGAGCTGGTGATACGCCGCCGCCGACAGGAGCTGGATCCGGAGCTGGTGCGCCAGGAGGAGGTGTCGTGAACGACTACAACAACGGAGGCAATTCTGCCTCACCATCCAGCGGAGGGCCATTCTCGGGGTATAATCTTCTCCTCCTGCTACTGCTGTTAGCGCTATTCCTGTTCCTGTTCCCATTGTTAGCGCTATACTATGTGCGCTATGTTCTTGTTCCTGTTCTACATAATGCCTCTAGCATGTTATCGCGTTACTGGTATGTTCCTGTTTCTGACATTCAAGATGCGCATAGTATGCTACTGGTTATGTTAAGATCACCCTACTCTGCTTATGCCATGATAATTGTTTCAATTTCTTGGATTAAAATATGCCGAATAATGACTATATTTCCAACAATCCAAAAACCTGATAGGTCATTTTCGGTAGTTGGCTTTGCTGCTGCACTGAAATCACATGCTTTTGATGGTTCAAACTATAAGAGATGGAAAGCACGTGCACTATTGTGGTTGACAGCGATGCAGTGCTTCTATGTTTCACGGGGCAAACGAAGTGAACCACCTCTTTCTCCTGAGGAAGAGGCTAAGTTCGAGGCTTCGGATTGCCTGTTCCGTGGAGCATTGATCAGTGTACTCGCTGACAACATAGTGGACGTGTACATGC